GATACCCGAGTGGCCTCCAACCTTAGAGTCATGGAAGTGCTGCAAAATCTGCTCGCGTAACTGCCCACTGTCGGGGACATAGACTCGACCTCGGTGTAAAAGTAGATCATTGTGCAGCTCGTAGTCGATAGCAGTTGTCTTACCTGCTTCTATCGATTGGCGCAACTCCAGGCAATGGGTATCCTCTACTTGCGCCTTCCGGATCTCCTCCCAAATGGCCCAAGTAGGTCCAGTGATCGCACTTAACTCGGCCACGTCCGTTCGTCTGGATAGCGCGTCGGCCACTGTGTTCTGTCGACCTGGTCGATAGATTATCTCGAAGTCAAACCCCATAAGTTTAGACACGAATTTCTGTTGCTCGTGGGTAACAATCCTTTGCTCCAATAGGTGCTTAAGCGGTTGTTGATCGGTAACTATTTGAAAACGTCGACCTAATAAATAAGGCCTCCAGCACCGTACAGCCTCGACAACCGCTAGCCTCTCTTTCACGTACACTGACAGACCTAACCGAGTAGTGCCCAGCGCTTTGCTGAGATAGGCTAGGGGTCGCCCCTCTTGCACTAGCACAGCTCCAATTCCAATGTCACTCGCATCGGTATGTACCTCGAACAAGACATCAAATCTGGGCATGGCGAGTACTGGCGTTGTCGTCATAGCTTCTTTTAATTTCCCAAACGCCTCCTCGCTAGCTTCGGTCCATGTGAACCCACCCTTCTTAGTCATTGCTGTCAGTGGCTTAGCGATGGTTCCATAATCCTTTACAAACTTTCGGTAGTAACCTGTGAGCCCCAAAAATCCTCTCAACTGCGTGAGGCTAGTTGGCTTAGGGCAATCGACCATAGCCTCAATCTTTCGCGGATCGACTTTCACACCGTCATGAGATATGAAATGACCAAGATATTCAACCATCTCCTGCCCGAATGAACATTTGGACGGTTTGATGTGGAATGAGTTGGCCTCCAAAATTTCGAGAACTATCCTTAGATGCCCAAGATGTTCGCCCCACGAATTCGAGTAGATTAGGATGTCATCAAAGAATACCAAAACGAACTTACGCAGATAGTCTTTGAAGATAGAGTTCATGGCGAACTGGAAAGTGGATGGGGCGTTGCATAAGCCGAATGGCATAACCAGATACTCATAGTGCCCCTGGTGTGTACGAAAGGCCGTCTTGGGAATGTCGGCTTTGTGGAGCCGAATCTGATGATAACCAGCTCGTAGATCAAGTTTAGAGAAATATCGCGACCCTGCTAACTCATCAAGCATGTCATCAACACTTGGAATAGGAAACCGGTCTTTGATGGTTGCAGCGTTTAGGGCTCGGTAATCAGTACAGAACCTCCACGTGCCGTCTTTCTTTTTGGCTAACAAGACTGGAGAAGAAAACGGACTCTCGCTATGCTGTATGAGTCCTGATTCAAGCATCTCGGCCACCTGCCGTTCGATCTCGGTTTTCTGAAAGTGAGCATACCTATAAGGGTGGACATGAATGGCATGCTGTTCATTGACCAATGGTATGCAATGATCGAACTCTCGGTGCGGTGGTAGTCCTTTGGGCTCGCCCAGTACTCCTTCAAACTCTTCGAGAATCTCACGCACATCTCCCTGTTGTTGTGCGTCCCTGTTCGAGTGTGCTTCCACGTCCTCGACTATTACTGCAAAAATTTGGCCTCCACCTCGTCAAACTCTTTCAATATTTTTCAGCCCTACTTCCTTAGTTTCTTTATCAGTGCCGACACTTAGGGTGACCTGCCGTCCTTCGGAGTTGAACTCCATAATGCCTGTTCGATAGTCGGTCGTCACCTTGCCTAACCCTTCAAGCCATTGAATTCCTAGCACTACATCTGGCCCAACTAGTGGTAAAGCATACAAATCAGCTTTTATCGTGACCCCTTGGAACTTGATCGGCACCCTCCGAAAAGACTCAGAGCATTGCAACCTCTCTCCATTGGCTACTCGTACCTCAAAGGGCTCGATCTTTGTGGTTGGCAATCTCAACTTTTGCGACAAGTCAGCATTGATGAAATTATGCGATGAACCATTGTCTACGAGCACCACTACTCTTCGATCCTTGACCCATGCTGGTAGTCGCATTGTTTTCGGCCCTCTGATCCCCGTCATCGCATGCATCAAAATTTCAGGCTCCTCACTGAAGGTCTCAATCTCGTCCTCCTGATGCGATTCCTCCTCAACCTCAACCTCCGCGTCGTCCGGGTTGGCCACCTCAATGACAAAGGCTTGCTTGCACTGATGGCCCGGAGTGAACTTCTCCTCGCACTTAAAACAAAGACCCTTCTCACGTCGCCGCTTGACCTCCTCGGGAGACAGCCGCCTTACTATCGACCCCGCTGGCCGATGGTTAACGTTCGGTCGTGCGCTGGCCGTGGTCGGGTTTGGTCCCGTGCGACGTGTGTCCGCGAATCGCACGTCCGCCCGTCCCCTTCGCATGGCGACGAGGTGATCCTCTCGTCGTCGTGCCACTTCCATCGCGTCGTGCATGGTGTCGGGCCTCTCGAGCCAAACTTCAGCGGCCAGGTCAAATTTCAACCCGCCGATAAACGCGCCAACTAGTGCATCTTCCGGCCAATTGCGCACGCGGAAAGCTAATCGTTCGAACTCCCTAATGTATTCGCGTAGGCTGCCTGTTTGCCGTATGCGCGTAAGAGCCTCATTGTAATTATGATAATCGGATGTACCAAATCGCGTAAGCAACTCTCTCTCAAAAACATCCCAAGTAATAATTTGTTGTCGCTTGCGATAGATCCTTGTGAGCCATTGCCACCATACGTTGGCCTCACCATCAAGATAATAAGCTGCGTATCTCACGCGGTCGGGACCGTCGGTTTCATTAAGCTCAAAATATTGTACCGCCCTGTGGAGCCATGCGTCCGGATCGCTGCCTGTGAAAGTGGACAACGTGATGCGCGGCTTGTCGAACTTCGGACGTTCACGATACGTGGACGCCTGGGATTGCCGATCGAGGTCGTCTTCGCGCTCGTGCTCCTCGCGTCGTCGTTCTTCTCCTTCAGGCTGCTCGCGCTCGTGCTGTCGCGCCTGGTCGCGTTGCCGCGGTGGTGGCAGGCGAGCGAGAACCGTGCGCGCCATCTCATCAAATCGCCGGTTCATGGTCTCCATTAAATCTTGCACCGTGGATTTGGTATTGCCGAGTCCTTCACCCAACGTTTCGATAGCCTCGCTCATACTGCAAAATTGGACATCGAGATTATCGATCTTGTCCTTCATCTCTTTATTGGCCATTGCTTTCTTCTCTTGCTTGCGTTCCTTGCTTCGAGGACTCGTGTTTGAAGAAAATTTTTTTTTTATTTGATAGGGGGACGAAGAAAATTCGAAAAGAAAAAGAAAGGGAAAGGGGTAGAAGAAAAACACACGATCAACTCCTCTCAACGAAAGCACCAATGATGAAGATCGTGTGTTTCGACTGCCGATAAGCCACAAACCAGTGCCTTGAATCGCCGATAGTGCCTAGAGGTTCACAAACCGCACCCCTCTAAACGACTTAATTGCTATAGAATTTTGGTGAAAATACTAAAGCAAAGAAGATGAACAAAAGTTCTTGAGTTCTTATTAATTCTTCAAATGATGAAAAATAGCATGGGGGTTGGTCCTTTATATAGGCACCAAATTATATCTAATCCTAATCTACCTAGGGAAATAGTTAAGCAGTAAAATATTAGGAATCCTAAACAAGCTAGAAAATATAATACTAGAAGGAAACTAGATCTCTTGGTATGCACTCCAAGCAATTCCCTCTCTCTCTCAAGGACCCACGCACGCACGCCGTAGGTCGGTTGCCGCCTCGCCCATGCCCTAGTCCTCGAGGACTAGGGCTCCGTCCTTCTCGCGCGCGTGTTGCCCATCCGGCGTGCCGCGCACGCCATTGCCATCCGCCGCCTCAGCGCGCGCGTGCCCGCCCACCAGTCCGCACTCCTTGAGGACTGTGGCATGGCGCCCCGCGCGTCCATCCCCATCGGCCGTGTTGCGCACACCTTCGGCCCTGGCGGTTTCCCCGCGCGCGTGCTGCCCCGCCTTTCCGCATGCCTCGAGGCCTGCTGTAACACCCCACTTGATTTTAAAGAAATTTCGGATTTTTCAAAACCAGTATAAAATTTCCAAACTCATTTTCGAAAATTTAGTTGGTGTTAACTATCACAATTTAACTAGTCCAAGTCGTGTCTGGACTCACGGGGATTCATAAACCCGATTTTCGCAAGGTTTTCATTAACCTGATACACATCTCATATGAACAATGGTACATCCAAATCAATCACCATAATTATCCAAGGTTCAAAAGTGATTACCAAATTATTCCCATCATCAAACATAGTTCGAAAACATGATTAGGGTTCATAAAGACCACATTA